CGCGCTGAGGTACACCACAACAGCAACCATCCATAGGCTGGCCATTCATGTACATCCTCGGTTAACCCTCAGTGTCGTCGTCACCGCGCTGAGGTACACCACAACAGCAACCATCCTAATTGTCCGACAAAACTAGATCATACGGATCAAAATCTGACCATCAAAATTTGTATTGAACTGAAAAAGACCGAATGTCCACACCCAAAGACCCCACTCGCCCGAGTGCTGGGACAAAACTAATAACGATATGCCGGATGCAGGATGTAAAATTCTGTCGGGCTAACGGCTCGTCAAAGAAATCTAACGTGCGAAGAAAAAAGAACGTACCTATCTGTGTGGTCACAAAAGTCCAAAACCCACGGGCTGCTCCCCGCTGACTTCCAGAGGGCGCAGCCCCTGTCGAGCGGGAGGCCTGATACGGTTGTGAGGTTAAGCAGGCATGTGCAGGACGTGACGATTCCTTGGGTGAGCCCAGAACCAGAGCGCCATGTGCCGGCTCTGCATGCATGGAAGCGTCCTTGGATGGCGGGGAATGCCCATGATCTGCCCCTGCCTTCCCTTGAGGGCTAACTGTTCCACAGGGGGCTGCCCCAAAGGGGTACTCTGAGGGCAATACCTGCTGAGAAGGAGACAAAGTGGACACCACACAAATCAGGCAACGTCTCGACCCACACAAAACAATGGCCACAGTCAACCTAGAAATAGGCCTGACGTCTTCCTTCGAAGTCGGAGTACAGCCGCCCATGAGGCAGGGAAATGAAAAACGGTTGTACACGCAAAAATCAGGTCCAGGTGAAAGCCAAAAGTCCAAGCGGACGATTAACCGGGACCTTCCACTGGAATTCACAGCCGGTGATCGATTAAAAAAAAAAAAAAAAAATTTTTGAAAGGGAAATATGCCTCGATGAGTCTTTGAACCTAAGACCTTTAGGCTTTGGGCATAAAGCCACTGTGTTACCATATGCTGTGATCGTAACTGACACACAGAGCATGTTGAGAAAGGTGGAGACAGGGATGCTCCGTTCAGAGTGGCAAGCCTCACTTCAGAGGTCCAGGTAGTTAGCATCCTTTGGATATTCTCTGCTGTTGGTGATGACCTGATGTCTGACAAGCTAGATGTTGTGAGGGACCCTGGGAGCCAGTGAACATTGTGAAAGTGCAAATAAATCATTGCGGTCTGAAAAGAATGACGCAGCCAGTTACCAGGGGATCTGGCCGATGCTCAAAGGAAAGGTGAGACGATTTACAGTCAGATAGTTACCGGTGCCATCAGAATTGGAACATTTTGTTTTCTGCTGAAGATGGGGACAGAGCACTTGTGGGAGTGTCCTGAGTGCAATGATGTTGATTCTTAATTGAACATTTAACATCTAACATAACACTGCTCGCACTAAAGTACCCTGCCACACAAATCTCATATAGTTAGGTGACTCATACTACTATGATGAATAATTTGATTAATCAGTCAACGTGATTAACATGTGAAATGTACTCAGCACTACACTGTGATTAGCATTAGGACCTGTCATGTGGGTTCCACTGCACCATTGTGGGGAAAACAAGAATAGACCCACCGCGTATGCAAAAGCATGTAAAGAGAGTCGACTAATTGGCAGCTTCCTTCAAAGTTTTAGTGTGTCTGCCTGAGAGACAAGCAACCAACAGTTTGCATACAGATGAGTTAGATCTGTAAAATGGATGTGCATGCAACACTCGGGTTCTGGAACAGGACTAGAGTCAAGAAGAGGACGAACAACCAGAACTGATGCACGCGAAGAAGAAGAAGAAGTATTAGGACACATACTTGATCAACCCACTTCATCATTTTCACATGACCTGAAGGACTTATCTAAGTTATGATAAGCTGATAAACATGTTTTACCTGCATGCATGTGTGTGTGTCTGTGCACACACATGTTCGCCCCCCCCCCCCCCCCCCCTCCCCCCCCAACTCCCCATCAACTTTATTAGTGTGTGTAGAATATCTGCATATATTTACTATACTGTTTCTAATATATTTTAGTTCTTCATATCTGGTTATATGATGTTTGACATCTGATTGTTAATTAAGTAAAGATTTATTAACTGCAATTATTTAATGAGATGGCTTGGGTATATGTGCTGTAGTACTTCATTCTTTGATTAAATTGTCCTGCTTGATGGATATTTATTGATTTAGTAAAGATTAATTCCTAAAGTTTGATGTGTACAAATCAGCAAATTTACAAATGTGGTGTAGATTATTTAGTACTCCATTCTTAAGAGTAACTGGCAAGCTGTTAGAATGTTGGCTTTCTTGCAGGATTCTTGCGGGATTCAAATTCTTGGTAGGGTGATGGACATTTTTTGTGTCAGCAGCAACAATTCAAAACCTTTATCTGCATAGTTCATGGCAACTACCCTAGCCATGTGGCCCTAAAACTGCAGGCTTGAAACCCCAGTGTCCTACACCTCCCCTAAAATAATGAATAAAAGGTCCCAGTGTGGGTTCCGGGGGTCCTATTATAGGGAACAGACCCACTGCCTACCCAAAAGCATGTCGTAAGAGTAAATTAATCGGGAGCTTCCTTCAGAGTCGGAGTGCATCTGCCTGAGAGGCAAGGAACCAGCAGTCTGCATACAAATTAGTTGTATCTCCATTCCCGCCCAACAGCAATAAGGACGCCGGATACATGTGAACGTCAAAAACAGAATTAATGTATTTCTAATTCCAACACCAAAACAATGAAAGGCATCACGAGAATAAAACGTTACACCGCCACAGTCATTCCTACTGGCAGGGCAGCACACACTACGGACGCTCTGGGCTACTTCTACTGCCACCCTGTCCCGTGGTCAACTACGAGCAAGCATTACCTGCTCGTGCAAACCCACTGCTCGTGATTATGTGTCTACCTCTATGACACCCATCCCTTGGGTACACTGTCATAGCAGAATCATACAGGCCGATGCACAGTACATTGTGACACTTGTCCAGACCTTCCGTCTGCGGCCTGACACGTAATTGAGATCTAAATAATCTCACCACACGAGCGTCTGTCACGCTGGCGCGACCACTGTAACAACACTCACAGACAGCCGTACACCTACCGCCAGCGTAACACAGTTATGCAGGACCAGCCTGGAACCATCCAGATTAGAACAGGCCTTCTACACAGCGTCGTAGAGTCCACCGTTACTCACTCTCTCTCTCTCTCTCTACATTCCGTTCAATGTGTGCGCACCGCACCAAGTTTTACGTTCAATAATGAACTTCCCTTCCCATATATTGCACACAACACCAACCCAGCCTAAAATGGGTACCAGGTAATGACCTGGGAAGTAAAGGTGGCTAGTGTGATGGTGACCACATCACTGATTAGTGCCCATTGAGCTATAACCAATATGAGTCTAGCACTATATACCCAATGCGCTATTGGTATAAACTATTGGTTTTTTTTTTTTAACATAAAAGAGTCTTTCACTTACTTTACTGTCTGATATTTTGGGTGGTGAAATTGAATACTTGAAAGGTTGTAAAACAGGACACAGTTTGTTAGAACTGGATGAAGTATGGACCACAGGGCCTCTGTGGTAGCCATAAAATTTATCCTGGGTCACCCCGAAACATCCAGGCCAACTGGGTTCTGGTGAAGCAAGCTGGCAGTCGATTTACTATTACTACAAATAATACAGTGAGATATAAACAAGGACATAGAGCACAAGGTTGATAAAGAAAAGATGGGAAGATAGCATTATAGAAACTCTACAACAGCACAGTGAATCTAGGGTCGAGGGGGCTAGAAGAGCAATAAGCAGAACTTTATGTCTCCCTTAAAACCCAAAATTGTAAAAGTGGAAGTGAAGAATAAGAATAAAAATTGAAAGCTTGCTTTTGTTCAAGGGCAGCAGATGGGTGACTAATTGTTTTCCTTCATTTTGTTGCAGATTAGCTGAAAACCGGGCTTTGTAATGTCAAGCTGGTACTTAAAACCATCAACTATTTCAGAGCCAGGTGGTTTTGGATTTGAAACAAAGTCTTAACTACTGCTATAAGCTGAGTGTTCAACATGGGATCTTGCCCTGTTCATGTAGAAAACGGAAGACACCAGAGGAAAGGAGTCATGCATCTCATCTCATAAAATGTGATCAAGTGTTTGTAATCCAGAAGTGCATACTGGTGCTGCCGAGATTAAATTCAAGATAGCAACAACTGGCTCTGTCTGTGTTGTGCTTTGTGTGTACAGGCCAGGTTTTAAAAATACAGTTTAACTGTATAAAAAAACAGATGAGACAAGAAAAACCTTCGCTGTACATAAGTGGTGCTGTTTTTATTTTCTTTCTAAGAAGTATCAGTAAACGCATTTTGTGCCAAATTGATTACTTACTTCAGACATTAACATAAAACACTTTTCCTTTATGGTTTGTTTAATTCATTTATAGAGATTCACACATAGCAAGTTGATCTTTAGCAGCTGCCACCACATAGTGTTGTTGTGTTCTTCGGACCAGTGAATGTTATTACCTGACGTGACAACTATTTTGAACTCAGGTTGCTAGTCTTTTAGCAGTATTGTGCCAAAGTAATTTTTAGCCACAGAGTGTGCCGACTCAAGTCCACCATATTTTTTATAAACAGCAGTTGTTAAAGCAAGATAATTTAAAGTATTATTTAATGCTAATTTATTTTGGAATAAGATCGTATACCTTACTTCAAATCACCCAGTGTGCCATTTAAAACTGTTCCACAAGCCACACTTGATTTGCATGATGTATGCTGCTGATGCTTGATTCAAGATATTCTTCCTATGTGATCACCTTCCTTGTTTTATACTCTGAAAGATGAGTTTCTAAAGAAAATTTGACTATTTTTCTGAATACTCCTTCAGTTCAGTACAGTTTTGAGCAAATCATTGATGATTTATAATATCAATATTTAAATCCACATCTTCCTGGGATAGACAGATTCAAAGTAATCACATTAAACTGCTTCCAATATTGTGACCTCAGCAGCCATCAAAATGGCCAATGAAGAAACGAAACCTCTTCTGTCTAGAAGCAGCACCCCAAGGTCTCAGAGGTCCTACACACCTGCTAGCCCGACCTTTGATGACAGACCTGGTTCACTGAACCAAAATGATCGCACAAGTCCTGTGCGTGACCGAAGCAGAGGCTCCGATGGTAAACAGGCAAACAGAGGCTTCGATGGTAAACTGGCAAACAGCTGCCATATTAAAGCAGCGTTAACATCAATTCTCATAGCTGTTGTTTTTGAAAGATTAACATATTACGGCCTAACTGGAAACTTAGTGCTTTTTCTGAACGAGGCCCCGTTTAACTGGGAGTCGTATCACGCTGTTAGTGCCTCTTTCTTATTCTTTGGAGTGACGTATATTATGTCACTTCTTGGAGGCTGGATTTCAGACTCATTGCTTGGACGTTTCAAAACCATCCTTCTGGCATACGGGATATATTTATGTGGATACGTTGTGCTGCCATTCATTGCTGTGAATTATGACAGTCAGATGAATATAGAACTACCGAGCATATGTCCCTCAACAAACAGCAGTGCCGTAACAAATAACACAAGTGATCCACCAGAGACTATATTTGGGGAGCCGTGTGCTGGCTTGATCATTGGTGCCTTGACTATTGTAGCTATGGCAACAGGCATTCTGAAGGCAAATATATGTCCTTTTGGAGCAGACCAGGTGTGTATCAGACATTTTGTGTGTGTGTATTCTGTCTGTCTATTGCCTGCCTGCATCCTACCCTGTCTCTCTCTCTCTCCCCCCTCACTCTCTCTCTTCACCCCTCACTCTCGCTGTCACTTTTTCTCTCTCTCTGACTTGTTTGGTCACTACTGTATTGACTGTTAAAGCAGTGGCAGTCAGCAAACAGGTACTGAAATAGAAAACAAATGGATTACGAGAATGAGAATCTCCGAGAAAAACCCTGCAAAGTGCATTGATGAAAGAAGCCAAAGGTTCTTGCCTGAATTCCATCCATGATGTGAAAAAAAAGTGCTGCACTAGATAGAACTGAATAAATAAACTGCGAGCCTTATGTGTGATGTTTAAATGTCACAACAGGATGTTGATGAACAAACGAACGAACAAACTTTATTTTCAGAGGATTACAAATTGGCCATGCAGACCCGTCTTCCATTCGGCTCTTCCAAGCACTCATCATTCAGACCACAGTTGCGTGTTATCAGTAATGCGTGTTATGTTTATATAACAATACGCCTAATGAAATAATGCATACACACATCATGTAAACACAATCATACACACTCCATATATACATGTAAACATACATTCTGATCTGCCCATGCGTACACAGACAAAAGCACACTCATACATATACATATTTATACACACACACACACACACACACACACACTCTCTCTCTCTCTTTCTCTCTCTCTCTCTCTCTCTCTCTCTCTCTTTTTATGAATGCGCCCACACTGCCCTCATACAAATACATACATGCACTTATGCTCATACAGACGCTTACAAGCACCTACACTCATGATGTTGAAAGAGGAGATATGTTACAGGTAACATATTACAGTTGATATATTAGAGTTGCTACTTTTGATTTGACATACTAGAGATGATGTATTATATTAGATTTGCAACTTTAGAGTTGATATACTAGAGGTAATATATTAGAAATAATACTTTAGAGTTGATATACTGCAGGTGGTCTATTACAATTGATATGCTAAAGGTGATTTATTACAGTCAGCATGTTAGAATTGATATATTAAAAGTGATAGAGTTACTACTTTAGAGTTGACATACTAGAGGTGATATATTTGACTTGCTACTTTAGAATTGTTATACTTGAGGTGATATATTTGACTTGCTACTTTAGAATTGTTATACTTGAGGTGATATAGTGGTGTTGCTACTTTTCACATGATTTCCCAGAGGTGATATATTAGAATTGCTACTTCTGATTTCATATGCTAAAGGGGATATATTACAGTTGGTTTATTAGAATTGCTATTTAAAAGTTGATGTATTAGAGATGCTGCTTTAGAGTTGATGTATTAGAGATGCTGCTTTAGAGTTGATGCATTAGAGATGCTGCTTTAGAGTTGATGTATTAGAGATGCTGCTTTAGATTTGATGTATTAGAGATGCTGCTTTAGAGTTGATGTATTAGAGATGCTGCTTTAGAGTTGATATATTTGGGATGTGTGGAAAGAGTGAAAGACAGTGCGAGAAGATTCCTGACAGCCTTTTGTCGTGGCGTGGACGGGTGTCAACACATGAACTTATATAGACAGATTGTGGAGAGGAAAGATCGCCCACGCCAGTCATTAAGGCACTCGAGGATGATGCTACTAGGAATAATATATTATAACTGAAACATTAAAATTCTTTATGTGGGTTCCGGGGCTCTATTGTGGGGAAAACACGAATAGACCCACTGCCTCTCCAACTGGCACGTCATAAAGAGTAGACTAATTGGGGGTTTCCCTCAAAGTCAGAGTGCATCTGCCTGAGGCAAGAAACCAACAGTCTGCATACAGAGAAATCAAATTTGTCAAATGTATGTGTACACAACACTTGCGTTCTGGAACAAGTCTAAAGTTCAGAAGTGGATGAAAAACCAGAACTTTCTGCCAGAGTTAACACCTGGTGAATACCAAAGAAGAAGAAGAAAAAGAAGAAGATATATTAAAGTTGCTACTTTAGAGTTGATCGATAAGAGACTGTATATTAGCGGTTATTTGTTAATACCGGCAGTGACAACATCTCATATTCCCCCTGCTGTTTATTCTGTTCACCATCTGTGTGACACTCTCTGCAGACAGCTAGCGGTTCTGCAGAGAGAGACTGAGCCACATGGGATAAAACCCGGTGTTGTGAAGTCGATCCTGTCACCTTTACTTTTACCTTTACTGTCCATCAGCTTCTGCAAGCGAGCCAACAAATCCAACTAAGCTTCTTCAACCTCTTCTACTGGTGTATCAACCTGGGTAGTTTCCTGGGCCTGGGAGTCGTTGCCTACATAGAGCAGCAGGAGAGCTTCCAGACTGGGTTCATTATCTGTGCAGTCTCCCTGGGCTGCTCGGCTGTAATCTTTTCAGCAGGCAAGTGATTCTTCTCCTTTAATTAATTAATCAAAGGTTTTGTTTCTTGCCGACTGCTACCTAGAGTGTTACCATACCATCTGGAGGTTTAAAATATCTCACTCTGGATGATAGACCAACAAAGCAGATCACAGATACCCGATTCAACCTCTGAAGAACTAGCGCATCCATAATAGATACACCAGTCAGGTGTATCCTGCGGCATTGTGTGACTTCTTTGTTTTTTTCCCCTAAGATTTATGCGATTTAGAGCATAATCCACCAACTATCAACAGAAAATTCCAGTGAAATGTTACCAAAAGCGTAACGAAATGGGTAAGCAGAAAAATGTGCACAAAATAACACCAATAACATTTAGACCAGTAGCCTTTGTCAAACAAGAAGTGAACTCCACAAATGTAACTAACAGAAGATTATTCAGATCTCTCTTAAAGGTGACGTGACCAACGTTTTTTAAACTTGACTGCAGTCACCCCCATATTTTCACCAACCATCAACAGGCGGACAGATTGTCTGGTTCTGTACCTCTTGCTGGTAAATTAACACATCTCAAGCTAGATGGGTCAAGGCCATTTGGAAGCAGGGTAACACCAAGGAAGCTTCTTCTTCTTCTTCTTCTTCGCGTTCACCAGCTGTAGACTCTGGCGGAAAGTTCTGGTTGTTCGTCCACTCCTGGACTGCAGTCCTGCTTCAGAACCTGAGTGTTGCGTGTGCATCAGTTTTACAGATCTGATTCACTAGAATACAGACTGGTGGTTCCTTGTCTCTCAGGCAGATGCACTTTAACTTCAAAGGAAGCTCCCAAATAGTAGACTCTTACGACATGCTTTTGGGTTGGCAGTGGGTCTATTCTTGTTTTCCCCACAATGGGGCCCCAGAACCCACACGGGGAACCAAGAAAGCATAAGTCGATCGTCATGGTCAGAAGAGAATGGCACAGCAGGGAGTGGCTAGAGAATCTGACAAACATTCAGCACTGAGCGGAAGGACAAGTCAGACATGCAGCAGACATACAGCAGACATACAGTCAGATGTACAGTCAGACACACAGTCAGACTGCTACTGGTACTGTTGAAATTAGAACACTGTACTGGATACTGAAGTTTGTGGCTCGGAATGCCCAAATACTACGGTGTCAGTTATTCACACTTTTGCCCATAAAAGTCTTTAAAAAAATGAAGTTTTTCTGAATTTCATTCAGAAGAAACACTTCTTTTAGATTCTCCGAAGCTCCACCCTAAGAAACGGGAGGAAGAGAAGAAGACACTAAAGAAAACTTGGGAGTCTTGGTCAGGTTTTATAAAAATCCAGGAGGTTGAAACTTCACAAAGGTGATTTTTTAATTTTAAAAAAATTTCTTTTAGTTTTTAAATGGAGAAAAGTAATGTAAATACAAACAGAGCAAAGAAATAACTGCTTTCCTTTCCCTTGATCAAGAAAACAAGGGTTTTGTTGACACATAGCAAAGTGTCCTCATCATAAGTTTATTGTGTCTTTTTATCCCAAATATACTTTTTGTGTCAATATAATCACACCCGCCATGTCTACACACTGCGCAGCTGCAACCAGTACCAAGGCTGTTATATAGGGGTATTGGCAACTGCTCAATGACATCGTGTCTTCAGAAACCCCTAAAAGTAGGAAAACCGGCTTTCTTATGGAGACAGGTTAACTCACTTCAACTTAACTCTTTGAGTCCCAAGGAACGCATCATACGTTTATAGGTTCCTACCTAGAAGCCCAATAAACGCATGGTGCCCCGATTTTATTACTTTCTTTACTACCCCCTGGGCCTGTGATGCTAAACCTCCTGGGACTCAAAGAGTTAATCTCAGTGCCTGCATTTGCTGCATCACCACCTTCACTTTTAATGTTCAGTTACCATCCTGTATTGCCAGTAGATCTTTTTTTGTTATTTTGTTATTGTTGTTGTATTGTTCAGAAAATTTACTTGTAAAATCACACTTTTTTTTTTTCAGGTCGGTGCTGCTATGTGTGTCGTCCACGAGATGGCAGTGTACTTACAAACATTGTGAAAATATTTCAAGAAGCCTGGAGGAACAAAAGGCAGCACAAAGTGATGAACTGTGCTCTCAAGAAAGCTAATCAGGAAGGGTAATCTTGTTTATAGAAATGAATCTTTTGTTGCTAATTCTTCAAAATTGCCCCAGTGCTGCAAGATTCTTTTTTTTTTTTTTTAAATGTCACTTGTTGGGATTGCTCCCTTGTTGCTGCCATCTCCGTTCACTGAAAACATTTGCTACTCTCCATATCCCTCACTTTTTTCCTGTTCGGCTCTTAACTCTTGTAGCTCTTTGGTAGTTAGCTCAGTGTTATGCTCCTCTACCAGCTCCTCTATGTCTGCTTCTTCAGCTTCCAAATGCAAAGTCTTGCACAGGGAAGACATATTCTGAAGACATTTGCTCTTCTCCAAGACTCCTGCCACACGTCCTTATCATGCTTACTTAGTCAATTTTCTTCTACCGTGGGGTGTAGAGGTTAGCCGTTGAGATAGTCAGACTTCTCTGTCTGCAGTTTTGTTGTTGGCTTTGTTCTATTCCAGTTCTCTGTCAGTCAATGACTGTTGGATATTGTCTTCCCAGTGAACCCTGGGTCACCCCAGTGAACCCTGGGTCACCCCAGTGAACCCTGGGTCACCCCAGTGAACCCTGGGTCACCCCAGTGAACCCTGGGTCACCCCAGTGGTCTGGTTCTTAGCTTTCCATGCCTGCCATGGTGGCTGATTTTCTCCCATTCTGCACACATGTCCAAACCATCATAACTGTGACTGATCCACTAGAGTTTGTAAAACCTGGGTTTCAAGTTCCTGGTGTCCTCGTCATGCGCTAACGGATAATGGCCTGTATCAGGCCAATTTACTGGCATTCATCAGTCCACCCCGTCTGTGCATGGGTGAAAGTGTTCATGGAAAACTCATTTGGAACATGAGTAAAGTCCACTATCTGAGTACCCTACTAAATAACAAACTCAGGTTCAGATGTCTGTCATCTGGAAGTCCTATTATGTGACAAACCTTGGTTCAAACATCTTTTGACAGAGACTCTTACTTTATGGCTGCTTAGGTTCAAATATCTGTCCATCGAGTATCCTACTGTATAACAGCAGAGGTTCAGATGTTCCTCATTCAAAGATCCTACTTTGTCATACAAAAGGTTCATCCATCCGCACCAGTGGTCACACTCTTCGGAGTGTAAGGACCATAAGGAAATGCATTCCTGATGCATGCTTTCCACAACTGCTGCAAAAAAGGTGCCCCAAGACATTTACATGAAAAATGCTGTTGTCAAAGAGAGAAGTCTAACTTATGAAAGCCTCTTTGGATAGTGGGGAATGCACATTCTCTCTTCCCCTGCCTTCAATTGAGGGTTGAAAAAGGCATGCAACTACCCTGGACAGGTTCTCTATGGACAGTATCTGTGGATCAGGGGATGACAAAGTCAGAACATACATGAGGCTACAAATGTCACATGAAACTAGCCGGGACGGCTAATGCAGGATTACAAATGCCAGATGAAGTCGGATATGTTGGCCATACGGTGCATATATCACAGTATGCTGTAAACTACAAATTTACGCCACTTGGATGAATGATAAAAAAGAAGATTTGAGTAAACTCATGTGTCTCTGTCTTTAACAGATCTCACGCGGACATTGATGAGGCTTCACCAGCCAGTGTGAAGATTTCATTCTTAGACTTTGCCAAGCATTGCAATGGGGGCAACTTCCATTCTTCCCTAGTGGATGATGTGAAGAAGTTGGGCATGATTCTAGCAGTCTTTGCTGTTCTCATTCCTTACTGGCTTGTGTATTTTCAGGTACTTAATTAACTTACTGTCACTACTGTATGTGTTACCACTTTTCAGGGTGGTGTAGTGGGGGGTGGGGGTGGGGGGGGGTCATGAGCCGGAGGATTTAGGGCTGCATGGCTGGTGCAGTCGCCACGGACTGTGCAGGTTTGGATGTTTAAATTTGCCCCTGACAGAAAAACTCTCATCATCTTACAGGGGGTGGGGGAGGGGGGGGGGGGGGGGTCAACCCAGGGTCTCCCGCATGCGAGCCTGACATTGTTATTGCTGACATACCTAATTAACTTACCATGTTTCCCCATATTGCTGACATACCTAATTAACTTACCATGTTTCCCCATATTGCTGACATACCTAATTAACTTACCATGTTTCCCCATATTGCTGACATACCTAATTAACTTACCATGTTTCCCCATATTGCTGACATACCTAATTAACTTACCATGTTTCCCCATATTGCTGACATACCTAATTAACTTACCATGTTTCCCCATATTGCTGACATACCTAATTAACTTACCATGTTTCCCCATATTGCTGATACATTGTTCTGCTAAATAAAAACAGCAATGACATGCAAAGGAAAACATGATTTAGCACATATAGCATCAAATGATTAACTACATACAAATAAGTTATGAAAACCCAAATTTATTGAAGACACCAACAACAGATCCAGCAGTTGTAACTCAAGATACGAAAGTAATTAAAGTAGCAGGTCAGTTTATTTATTTAGGTAGTAATTTAGATTTGCATAAAATAAAGATTGTACAGTCCCCACAGTGTGCCTGTCAAACAGGACTACAAACACCTGAGCACATTCTGCAGACGTGCCCATTCTACATACAACTTTGAAAAGATACCTGGCCGCAAGAACGAAGTGTGCAGAGCAAACTGTGGGGAACCATGAATTACCTTCTACTGACATGCAAGCTTATAGAGGCAACCCACCTGATCCAAGTGTACGAAACCAAATGAAAAGAAGAAGAAGATGATAGTGAAGGAAATACAGTGAAAGAATTTATGACACGCATTGGCAAGGCAACAGCAGCTTTTAAAAGCTTAAACAAAATATGGAAATCTAAATTGTATATTTTTAAAACCAAGTTAAATATTTTCAATTCTTATGTTATTTCAGTTTTAACAAATGCAACTGAAAGTTGGAGAACTACCAAAGACATGGAACGAAAGTTAAATGCTTTCTTAAACAAATGTTTGGGGAAAATGGTGAAGATAAAATGAGATGAATTCAAAAGGAGTGAAGAAATAAGAGAAATGTCTGAGCCGCCACATCAACAGTTATAAGACAGAGAAGATTGTGCTACATTGGATACATCTTGAGAAGAAACCAGCAGAGAATCACCAAACAGGCACTACAATGGGAAGTACAGGGATTAAGGAGGCAAAGTCACCACACACAAAAAAAAAAAACTTAAGATGAACGTTGTTCTTCTTCTTCACGTTCACCAGCTGTAAACTCTGATGGAAAGTTCTGGTTGTTTGTCCACTTCTGGACTGCAGTCTTGTTCCAGAACCTGAGTGTTACATGTGCATCCGTTTTACAGATCTGACTCATTTGTATGCAGACTGCTGGTTCCTTTCCTCTCAGGCTGATGCACTCTGACTTCAAAGGAAGCTCCCAGTTAGTCAACTCTTACGACATGCTTTTGGGTAGGCAGTGGGTCTATTCTTGTTTTCTCTATAATATAGCCCCGGAACCCAAACAGGAAACAAACGAGAGGGGCTTTTTCATAAAATACCTGTATTTACCAGAAAATAGGTTTTTTTTTGGGTGGCAGGGTTAAGATAAAAATGGTTTTATAAATGAACCATTTATACAATTTTCAGATGCAGACGACGTTTGTTATTCAAGCTCTTCACATGAGACTGGATGTCTTTAATGTGAACTATACCATACTCCACGCTAACAACTCAGCCCAAGAGTATCCTATCATAAACAATGTAAGTTATTTTATGTGATTGTCAAATGCAAAGTAAACCATTTTATGTGACTACTAGAAGTGTCTTTCAAAGGCAAAGTAGATTATTATATGTGACACCAGAATTGTCTGTTAAAGGAAAAACTGTTTTATGTGACTGCCAGAAGTGTATATGAAATGCAAAGTAAACTTTTTTATGTGACTACCAGAACTGTCTGTGACTAACAGTCTGTGACAACCAGAATTGTCTTCTAAATGCAGAATAAACTATTTTTTAAAATAAATAATTAGAAATGTATGTCATGGGGAAAAAGAGATTTTTTTCAAAATGTGATTACCAGAACTGTGTGTTCATAACCATTGACTATGTGACTACCAAAAGTGTCTGTCAAATACAAATTAAACTGTTTTATGTGACTACCAGAACTGTCTGTCAAATACAAATTAAACTGTTTTATGTGACTACCAGAACTGTCTGTCAAATACAAATTAAACTGTTTAATGTGACCACCAGAACTGTCTGTCAAATACAAATTAAACTGTTTTATGTGACTACCAGAACTGTCTGTCAAATACAAAGTAAACTATTTTATGTGACTACCAGAACTGTCTGTCAAATACAAACTGTTTTATGTGACTACCAGAACTGTCTGTCAAATACAAACTATTTTATGTGACTACCAGAACTGTCTGTCAAATACAAACTATTTTATGTGACCACCAGAACTGTCTGTCAAATACAAATTAAACTGTTTTATGTGACTACCAGAACTGTCTGTCAAATGCAGAGTAACTGTTTTATGTGACTACCAGAACTGTCTGTCAAATACAAATTAAACTGTTTTATGTGACTACCAGAACTGTCTGTCAAATGCAGAGTAACTGTTTTATGTGACTACCAGAACTGTCTGTCAAATGCAGAGTAACTGTTTTATGTGACTACCAGAACTGTCTGTCAAATGCAGAGTAACTGTTTTATGTGACTACCAGAACTGTCTGTCAAATGCAAACTATTTTATGTGACTACCAGAGCTGTCTGTCAAATACAAACTATTTTATGTGACTACCAGAACTGTCTGTCAAATACAAACTATTTTATGTGACTACCAGAACTGTCTGTCAAATACAAACTATTTTATGTGACTACCAGAACTGTCTGTCAAATACAAACTATTTTATGTGACTACCAGAACTGTCTGTCAAATACAAACTATTTTATGTGACTACCAGAACTGTCTGTCAAATACAAACTATTCTATGTGACTACCAGAACTGTCTGTCAAATACAAATTAAACTGTTTTATGTGACTACCAGAACTGTCTGTCAAATACAAATTAAACTGTTTTATGTGACTACCAGAACTGTCTGTCAAATACAAATTAAACTGTTTAATGTGACCACCAGAACTGTCTGTCAAATACAAATTAAACTGTTTTATGTGACTACCAGAACTGTGTGTCAAATACAAAGTAAACTATTTTATGTGACTACCAGAACTGTCTGTCAAATACAAACTGTTTTATGTGACTACCAGAACTGTCTGTCAAATACAAACTATTTTATGTGACTACCAGAACTGTCTGTCAAATACAAACTATTTTATGTGACCACCAGAACTGTCTGTCAAATACAAATTAAACTGTTTTATGTGACTACCAGAACTGTCTGTCAAATGCAGAGTAACTGTTTTATGTGACTACCAGAACTGTCTGTCAAATACAAATTAAACTGTTTTATGTGACTACCAGAACTGTCTGTCAAATGCAGAGTAACTGTTTTATGTGACTACCAGAACTGTCTGTCAAATGCAGAGTAACTGTTTTATGTGACTACCAGAACTGTCTGTCAAATGCAGAGTAACTGTTTTATGTGACTACCAGAACTGTCTGTCAAATGCAAACTATTTTATGTGACTACCAGAGCTGTCTGTCAAATACAAACTATTTTATGTGACTACCAGAACTGTCTGTCAAATACAAACTATTTTATGTGACTACCAGAACTGTCTGTCAAATACAAACTATTTTATGTGACTACCAGAACTGTCTGTCAAATACAAACTATTTTATGTGACTACCAGAACTGTCTGTCAAATACAAACTATTTTATGTGACTACCAGAACTGTCTGTCAAATACAAACTATTCTATGTGACTACCAGAACTGTCTGTCAAATACAAATTAAACTGTTTTATGTGACTACCAGAACTGTCTGTCAAATACAAACTATTTTATGTGACTACCAGAACTGTCTGTCAAATACAAACTATTTTATGTGACTACCAGAACTGTCTGTCAAATGCAAACTATTTTATGTGACTACCAGAACTGTCTGTCAAATACAAACTGTTTTATGTGACTACCAGAGCTGTCTGTCAAATACAAATTAAACTGTTTTATGTGACTACCAGAACTGTCTGTCAAATACAAATTAAACTGTTTTATGTGACTACCAGAACTGTCTGTCAAATACAAATTAAACTGTTTTATGTGACTACCAGAACTGTCTGTCAAATACAAATTAAACTGTTTTATGTGACCACCAGAACTGTCTGTCAAATACAAATTAAACTGTTTTATGTGACTACCAGAACTGTCTGTCAAATACAAAGTAAACTGTTTTATGTGGCTACCAGAACTGTCTGTCGGATGCAAAATAAACTGTTTTATGTGACTACCAGAACTGTCTGTCAAATACAAAGTAAACTGTTTTATGTGGCTACCAGAACTGTCTGTCAAATACAAAGTAAACTGTTTTATGTGACTACCAGAACTGTCTGTCAAATGCAAAGTAAACTGTTTTATGTGACTACCAGAACTGTCTGTCAAATACAAAGTAAACTGTTTTATGTGACTACCAGAACTGTCTGTCAATTGCAAACTGTTTTATGTGACTACCAGAACTGTCTGTCAAATGCAAAGTAAACTGTTTTATGTGACTACCAGAACTGTCTGTCAAATACAAATTAAACTGTTTTATGTGACTACCAGAACTGTCTGTCAAATACAAAGTAAACTATTTTATGTGACTACCAGAACTGTCTGTCAAATACAAAGTAAACTGTTTTATGTGACCACTAGAACTGTCTGTCATGTGGAGGAGTAATTATTTTATGTGACCACCGGAAGGAATGGTAGGGATGTTTTGATGTTTGTTTATGATGATGGTGCACAGGCTAGCGATAATAAGTTTTTAAAAATCTTTTTTAAAGATTTAAAAAATAGATATAAAATTTTATGTAAATAAAAATAATTGACATGTGTCATATTTATTTAAATTTCAGAATAACAAGTTTAAGGTAAGGTTCACTTATGTTATTTGGCATCTTGTAATGGTTTTTTTATTGATTTCTTTATGTGTAAATATCAGTATAGAGATTAGACAGAAACTTTAAGCCACTAAATAAATGGTTCTAGTTCTTTGAGTTTCATGAACAATTAATCATAAAGTTTTATAGCAGATTCATAATAATATAAAATGTTACAAGTTCGGAAAACTTTGTGACATACTGGGATATTGTCTCCTTGGTGTGATGACTGGTTGCTAGGTTTTTTTCATATATAAGACATAGATGACATTCTGAATGCACACAGTTGATAATGAGTAGACGATATCCGGTCCAGTTATATTCTTTTTTGAACTTTCACAGTTAATCTGGTCTGGTCAATGTCTGCTATTGGCTAGCAGGTCCAGTAAGAGATGATGACATTTATCAAGTACAGAATCGATGTCTGCTACCATCCACATTCGTTACCTTTCAATCCTGTTTCATTACACATGCAATACACATAATGGTTGATCCAACATCTCTGATCATAGTTGTTAGATTCCTTGGCCTGTTGTAACTCGTTGGCTACCACTTCTGGTTAGGCTGTTATCAGGTTGTCATCTGGCGATCCTCTCATCGAATAGAATCTCCTTCACGTCTTCAATTATACAATGTCACATTCACTTGTCTATCAGATACGACCTTTCACGTCAGCTGTCAAACACATACTAAATGATTAGACCTTGGTCTAAACTTATAACCCTCGTTCTGGGTTTCACATGCTGGTCTGAGCCCTGTTTGTATATCTTGTGTTTCTGCGAGTATTCACATTATCATATATTTCTCTCTCATCTCATGTTTACTCCTATGTTGTTGTTTAGAGAATCCCTGTGGGGGGAAAATACCAACATTACACATACAAAGTCATAAAATGTAATGGCAGTTAAATTCATTAAACTTCATAGAAATTTTAATTCATGAAGGCAGATTATCTCATACTGTAGACTAACTAGTCATTGTGGTGCAGAGCCAAAATGCTTGGCTGCTTGCCCTGTGATCGTGTGTTCAAATCTCTATCTCATAAAAAAAATATATATATATATATATATCAGCATCCTAGGTTAGCTTGGAGAAGTAAAAGTGGCCCACCCCATACTGGATACATCATCCATCAAATGCTGATTGGCCTATAACAAATTTAGGGCAATTACCGAATAATCAGTAAGCCTCAAGGTTTGGCGTAGAGTACTGTATTTTCCTATTCCTAGCGTTCAGTGGCTGTAAACTCAGGTGGAAAGGTATAGTTGTTCGTTCACTTCTAGACTATGGTCTTGTTCCAGAGCTTGAGTTTTGTGTGCACATCTGTTTACAGACCTGGCTTACTTGTATGCAGACTGTTCGTTCCTTGCCATTTGGGTGGACGCACTACAATCTCAAAGGAAGCAGCCCTAAAATGTCGACTTTTACAACATGTTTGTGTAGGAGGCAGTGGGTGTATCCCCCCTTCTTCCTTCCACAGTGAAGCTCCTGGAATCCACATGGGGAGTGAGACATACAGTTAACCACTTTGCCACACAGACTGTTTCAATTGAACATTGTAATAACTTCTGTCCATGAATAGCAGCCTCATACAAGGGGGTTTCAAATGAAAACCTTAAAACATTGACAGAAAATACAGTAACTATGCCAGTATCTCATCACCTGTCAGTTTCTTCTTCTTCTTCGCATTCACCAGCTGTTAACTCTGGGAGAAAGTTCTGGTTGTACATCCACTTTTGGACTGCAGTCCTGTTGCAGAACCTGAGTATTGCGTGTACCTCCATTTTACAGATATGACTTATTTGTATGCAGACAGCTGGTTCCTTGCCTCTCAGGCTGATGCACTCTGACTTTGAAAGAAACTCCCAATTAGTCAACGCTTACAACATGTTTTTGGGTCTATTCTTGTTTTCCCTATAATAGGGCCCTGGAACCCACAGGGGGCAGCTGTCAGTATAGTGGTTGAAGATGCCAAGACTGTTATGCGTGTGACATTACCATGCAAAAAAAACATGGTGATGTCATAATGACAGTTTAAAGATAACCACCCCACTTTTGACATGCATCAAAGACAAGAACAGCCTTTTGGTATCTATGTTTTTTTTTTTTTTTACATTAGTGAAGGGGTGAAACCCATAGAGATTCATCGGCAAGTGAAGTAAGTAGAGTTAAGGACCCTTTTCCACACTTTTAGGTATATTTGGCATATACGACTAGGCCTTTATTCTATAGACCAATTAACATTTGGTGGGTGACGTGGGCAGCATCATGTCGGCCGCCTTTACTTTCCAGGACTATACCTGCTACCCCCACAAGGCTGGGAGTCAAGGTCATTTTAAAAAGAAAGTCAGGCCCTGATAGGAACCGAACCCACGACCTTCCGTTCCGCAGGTGAGCCTCTGGCCGCTATAACATGGCGGTCTCCATGAGTGAGGTAGGAAGTTCCAAAATGGGCTGGCTTCTGTGACAGACAGGGTCGGCAGCAGAAGGAGGAGGAGATCGGAGCGCCTATGGATCTGTCTGGAGAGCTGTGATGATAATCCTTTCTAATCACTAATCACAGGGTCGGCAGTAGTCTCACTTTTTTAAGGTTAGTATGGCTTTCATGGGAAACCCCTTCATATAAAGCAATTTATAAATAATTACTTCTTCAGTTTGCCGCAGCCTGGTTTAGCCTTTGTGATGCATTGGTCGTGATCATTCTCCTGCCACTGTTTGATCGGGTGATTTACCCAAGGATGGCCAAAGCCGGATACCCTTTCACTTTTGGCAAGCGCATCGTTTTAGGAATGCTGTTTGCGGCTGCTTCCATGGTGGTGGCGGGGTTCGTGGAGCAGTTCCGGTTGAAAGCTTACTGGCCCACCAGTAATCCCTGTGAGAGTCATGCTGTGCTGCAGATAATTGGTAAGTCTATTTCACTCTATAGCAGCAGTTCTTAATCTATGGGTCATGACCTTTTTTTTTTTTATGGGGGAGGGGGGGGGGGGGTCGAATGACCCTTTCACAGGGGTCACCAAAGACCATCGCAAAACACATATTCATTAAATGTGTAAAGAAGCGACAAAAATAATTGTATGTTTGAGGGTCATCACAGCATGATGAACTGTATTAAAGGGTCATGGTATTAGGAAGGTTGAGAACCACTGCTCTGTAGTAAAACTTTTGGCTATCCTCCGACTAACGGTCGGTAAAGATGGCGGCCACAAAATATCCTTTCGAGCAACAGTCGCGTGACTTAATTTGCGGTTCTCCGGCGACTATCGCCACCGTTCAGATCTTTTAAGATCTTTTAAGTAATAAAGATACCAAACCTAATTATTTGTTTTCTTTTGCTCTTGGTCTATACACTAGAAGGTCAAAGTAAAGTAATTAAAGGACCCATTTCTACGCCTCCAGGCACATTGGGCATATAGGGCTAGACTTATATTTATATTTTTGGCTCCTAGGTTGACCCAGCTTTAAATAGGTACCATGTAAAGTCCTGGGAAGTAAAGGTGGCCAGCGTGGTGTTGACTACATCACCCACTAAGTACCTACTGGTCTATAAAATATAGGTCTAGCCCTGTATGCCTAGTATTCCTAAAGGTGTGGAAGAGGGTCTGTTAACTTTTATAAAGATAGTGTAAATAACTGGTATGTCCCCTTAGTTTTATAGAATATTCTTGGCTTTTAGTTATGTTCTTTTCTCTAAGTTATGTTCTTGGCTCTTAGTAATATTCTTTTTTCTTATTAATGCTCTTTGCTCTTAATTATGTTCTTTTCTCTTTGTTATTTTATTGGCTTTTAGTAATATTCTTGGTTTTAATAATAAAGTTACTATAAATGACTGGTAAGATCCCTTCTGTCTTAATAGTTTTTTTGTTTTTTTATATAGCATAAGATACTGTAAATAATTGGTTAAACATTTGTTGATTATATCATAAAGGTACTGTCATCATCATCATGTTGCAGGTCCTTTGCAGAACGGCTCTGTCAAGAAAGAAACTCGGTCTCTCACCAGCTCTCCCCCCTCATGTACTTTCATATTCAGGGAGTCACTTATATCCCGTGCCCATCTTCGTGTTGGTCGGCCCTTGCCTCTCCTTCCTGGTACCATGCCTTCTGCTATTATTTTTTTCAATCCGCAATAGCACTTGAAATGACCAAAATATTTCAGCTTCTGAGACAGGATGCTGTTTATTAGCCAATCTTCCTTTGATGTTGAGATCTTTTAGGATGTCAGTATTGCTTCTCTTCTTTGTCAATGGTATTCTGAGAATATTTCTATAGCATTTAAGCTCAAATACATAGGTACTACCAAAATAAAGATTGAAAAGTTACCTTCGGTATTAGTACTACTAGAAGATTAAGCAATAAGGGGCTGCATTAGTGCAGTCGATAGGAGACTTGCTTTCAAATCCAGCTGCGACTCACTGCAGCCCACGTCCGGTGTTCAAAAACCAGGCAGCTCCCGGGGTTCACCCAGCCTCTAGATAATGGGTACCAGAGGTAACACTCTGGGGTAAATGGAAGAACATCGCTGTAGCTATGGAGTTGCGTGCGGACAGCGACACAGGCGGACAGTTTCTTATCAGCTGTCCATACTGGTGAAGAGCACTTATGGTTTATACCCGTGTGCAGTGAGGCTGGTTCACATCTCCTGACTTTAGATTAAGTAATAAAGATGCTTGAAATAATGAGTTCCTTCCGTCAGTTTTTCCCTCTCTGAGCTGTTACTAAAAGTTTTGATTACCCCTGGGAATTTGAGAATCTTATACAATATGGTAGGCCAATAAGACTACACCTAGATTAAATGTTGAATGTTGAATTAAGAACCAACTTCATAGCACTTGGGACACTCCCATAGCGCTCAGTCCCCACCTTCAGCAGCAAACGAAAAGTCCCAATTACTACACATATATACTCCATTCAGCCTGTGAGGCTGCGTGGTCTCGAGGCATGGTGTCCACCTCAAGTGCTAGAGATTCCGGGTTCAAGCCCCGGTGAAGGCTAGGATTTTTTCACGTGGACTTCTAGTAATTTTCTCTGGGTAGTAAGATCAGACGCCCATGTATATTGTTGCGCACGTAAAAAATTCCTTGCCAGTTGGAAATCAAAAAGAGTAGCCTAATGGTGCTGCCCCAGGCAAAATTTGAAGTTTAAAATCTACCCAAAGTATTTCAGGACCCTCGCCGGTGCAACTGAGTTCATGCTCTGTGCTGAAATTCTTCAGGATCAGACTTGAGTTAGGAGAAGAACTAAGCACTTATGGGCTACACCCATGTGCCATGATGTTGATCTGTTGAATAAACATAAACTCCATTTAACCTAAAAAGAAGTTAGTTATAATTGGGACACCTGTAACGGCCTCACCAGCTTGGTACAGCCTGCTGTCCTTTGCAGGTAAGGGTATAAATAGTTGGTTAAGTACCCAATGTGGGTTCCGAAGACCCAGAAGGGGGGATACACTCACCGACCCGCCCCCACAGGTATATTGTAAAAGGTGACTAGTTAGGGTTTATTCCATCCGAGTCAGAGTGCGTCTGCTTGAGCAGCAATGAACCCAAAACCTGCATACAAGATAAACAAACAAATGTGTTTGTTTGTTTTGTAAAGCTAGTTGCTTGTCCTTCACTGGGTATTGCAGACCCAACCCCATCTTGGCTGTTGCTGTTTTTCTAGGCAAATTTACATTTAGTAGTTTGCAGTTGCTTTCTGGATTGTCGGCTGTCAATACTACTATCGAAACCAATGCAAGGCGGTCTGCTACCATGTCGCCTGCACCTGGGATCGAACCCAGCACCCTGCCATTATAAAGTGCATTCACAGCATCTAAGCCACAGATGCTGACTTACAAGTAAGCAAATCTGTAAAATGGATGTTCGCCTGCAAAACTCAGATTCTGGAACAAGACAAAAGTCCAGAAGTGGATAGTGTTTTACCATCCATCCCCCCCCCCCCCCCCCCCCCCCCCCCCCCCCCCCCCCCCCCCCCCCCCCCCCATTGTCAGATGATATGAAGTACTGCCATTCATTCTGATATTATCAATTATTACAATAATTCAGTATACTACTAATCATTCTAATATGGTCAGCGAAAAATACAACATATTACCAATTATTCTCATTTTTCACCCAGGGGATACAGTGTACTACGCTGCAGACATGTCTGTCTTATGGCAGATCCCACAATACACACTGATTGGCATCAGTGAGGTCTTTGCAAGTGTTGCCTGTGAGTATCAATAAATGTTCTGTGTTCTGTACACTTAGTTCCCTGTGTGGATTCCTGGGCCGCTTTTGGTGGGAGTGTAGGTGAAGCAGAATAGCCCACTAACATTGCTCATGTCACCTCTTAGAGATTTGTAAACTCTCCTCTCCTCGTTGTTATCTTTGTTTAGCTCACTTCATGTTTGACAAAGGCTGCCCGGCCGAAACGTTACGTTATTTATGTTGTTGTGTGCATGTTTTTCTGCTTCCCCCTTTGGTTAAGCTTTTTAGTCAAATTTTCCTGGAATTCCTTGCTCCTTAACAGGCATGTCATAAAAGGCAAATAATTAAAGAGTTGCTGAAATCAGATTAGTTAGGCTGAAAAGTGTGCACATTGCAGCCTAGCTGAAACCACAACCCAACGTTCTAACCGCTTTTTTTTTTTAACCCTCTTGCCCGAGGACATAATTGTATTGTATCCATTTACAGCACAGCTGTTTTATTTGTGCCTTTTGGCACACGTTCTTACTTCTTCAGTCATTTGTTGTCCCGTTTAAACTTCACAGCTAACTTTGTGGGGGCATTATACAGTCTGACTGTTGTGTAGTCATCTATGCTTCATAATTCACAGGTGGAATTTTGATGTTCAGCATTATGGGAGCAACAGTGTGTTTGACGGACGACTCTAGCCATGATTCTGTGTTGATGAATAATGTCTGTAATGTTATAAATATATTGCTAGGGGGCTGCGTGGTCTCGAGGCATGATGTCCACCTGGAGTTCTAGAGGTCCCGGGTTTAATCCTCGGTAAGGACTGGGATTTTCTCACGTGGACTTGGACTTTTTGCAATTCCCCCTGATGTCTGGGTAGTAAGATTGGTCGCCAGTGTGCATTGTTGCGCACATAAAAAAAATCCATTGGCAGTTGGAAATCGAAAAGAGTAGCCTAACGGCGCTGCCCGGGCAAAATTTTGAGTTAAAAATCTACCCAAAGTATTTCAGGATTCTCATCGGGGCTACAGAGCCTGTTCACTGCGCTGAGCTTCTTCGGACTCAGATTTGAGCTAGAAGAAGAATGGAGCACTTATGGGTTACTACCCGTGTGTCATGATGTTGATCCGTTGTTCAAACTTCAAATATATTGCTCCCTTCTTGCTCTCACATCAGATCCTTGAGGCACAGCAGTTGTGTAGGTTGTTGTGCTTGCATTCTAACAAAAAGACCAAATAATCTGATCTTCTGCTTCTCAATGAATTTGTAAAGCAAGGTGTGGTTCTCGTAATCTTTCTGACAGTATTATTTCACACTCGGATTTCAATTTCTAAGATGGGGGTTTTCCTCAGACATTTACTCTCAAGGTGTTAATTTTACGAAAGGGAGCCGTAATAGAGTAGTTTATGTCATAAGGGAGGTATGGTAAAGAAATGGTTTCATGTGAAATGAAGTAGACACATCAGCTCTCAGAAGCCTGCTTCAGGCCTCAGAAAAGAGTTATCTGAGAAAGTTGGTCTAAATGACAGGAAAGATATAAAACCAAACAAAAAGTATATCAGCGAGCTTCATAATATAACCAGCACAAATAAAACCTGCACGTTGCAGCTATGGAGCTTTCATAGGCACATTCATAAATTAGACAACACGAGACAATATCACTTATCTTTATATCTCGAAGCAGCCAGGTTGATACCGGAAGGGACAAAGTTCCCAGCCAGACAATACATCATGACCTCATTAAAAATTTGAGATGATCAGTCACAGCTGTGATGGTTTGGACATGTATCAAAATGGGAGAGAATCGGTCGCCACGGCAAGCATTGGAAAGCCAAGAACCAGGGAACCAGACCAACAGGATGACCCAAGGTTCGCTGGAAAGACAACATCAGAGAGACCTAACTGACAGAGGACTGGAATGGAACAAAACCAAAGAGAAATCTGCTAACAGAGAAGTCTGATGATCTCTCTGGCAAACCTTCACACCCTCAGGGTAGAAGAAGATCGATTAAGTAAAATTGCAGTATAGACTTGAATAAGGTCAGCTGGCTACAAATTTAGGAATCAACATTGTAGCAAACTAGGCATACCCATAGACACATCTCTCCTGCTGAAAATGTATTCAGGTGTGAATCAGTGTTTTTCAACTTTTTGTTCAGATGGTGTCCTCCTTGAATATATGGCAGTGACACCCCACCCCCTCCCCCCAACTTTAAAAACAAATGTGATTAAAATAAAAAAAGAGAACAGAGAGAAATCCCAAACAGTATTAGCAGTTACTCGGAGAAACACATCCACATAAATAAAAATTTCAGATAACATAATGTCCCTGACTTTTTTTTTTTTATGTAAGTAGTTAAAAAATTTGTAAATTTATAATTAAACTTTGAAAAAAAAAAAGATAGTATAAAAGATTAAAACAAGTACACGTGCACTTAAATTTCAAAATTACTTGATGTCCCCCTTGAAACTTTCCTGTTTCCCCCTCCCCCAGGTTTTAAACTATGGTCTCTATGTGGGTTTCAAGGCCCCATTTAGTTGGGGGGAAGGGGGGGAGGTTGGGGGGTGAGAGTAGATCCACTGCTTCCCTGACAAGCATATTGTAAGAAGCCACTAATTAGGGGTTTCCTTGAAAGTCGGAGAGCAAGTGCCCTGAGAGGCAAAGAACCAACAGTTTGCATTTAAATAAGCCAGATCTGTGAAAGGTATCTGCATGCAAAACTCAGATTCTAGAGCAAGACTATAGTCCAGAGGTGGACGAACAACCAAAAAAAAGAGAAAACCACTGGTTTAGATGTTGCTTGTGCCAGTAGCACAGTGGTTGTACACATACTAAAATCTTCCTCTTGTGCGTTCTTTCTTACCGAATCCACACTTAATTCCAAGTTCACCTTACACAAATTGCTTCATCTTACATCATATATCTTCCAGACGCATTCTTTCATAAATGGTCTTCAGTCTGTCTGCATTATCGAAATTGAGTTTTGCTACCACTAACTATTTGACAACTATAGTCCATTTCAGAAGTTGAGGCTAACTTAAAAAAATGTAGAACTCAATAGCTGTTTAGAGTGAATTGTTTAAATCTGGCATGGAACCTGTTAAGTCATGTCCTTGTAGGAAAATCATTATAATGTAAACAAACAAGTTGTTTTTGTTTGCCTTATTTGTGGGAAATAAAATTTTTAAAACCAGACACCGATTAAAAGCAGTCACTTAGAATGTTTACAGTATTAGAGTGACACAAACTTTTCGGAACATCGAATTACACATGTGTTAGAGGTCATTCATATGAAAAACGGCATTACACTCTCAGGTGGTCAGTCTCCTGCATTCGCCTTTCCTGAATTAGATGAACACAGTATTTTATTGGATGAGGGATACCAGATAAAAACAAAAGAAGTAAAATAACAGAAGAAGAATTAGAACTCCTAGCGGAATTTGGAGTAGCAGTGCTGGCTAAAATGTTGAATGATACTTATAACAGCGGATACCTACCTGTTGGTATGCTCAAGTCTATATTTAAAGCTTTACCCAAGAGGCTGGGAGCCATGAATTGTGAGGATTTTCGAAGAGTCATCCTTATAAATCATATTACCAAACTTCTGCTAAGAATTGTAATGAGAAGAACAAGAAGACAAATAAAGATTTAAATTAGTCAAGAACAGTGTGGTTTTGTTGAGGAAGAAGGAACAAATAATGCAATATATTTCTTGAGAACACTGATAGAGAGATCAATAAAACCCAGAAGAACTTGCATTTATGATTTTAAAATTACACAAAAGCATTTGATAAGGGGAAAGAAACATGAGGAACTTGTTAAAATGTTGACAGAATTTAAAATTGAAAGGAAAGATCTCAAAATAATTAAAACTATTTATTGGAAGCACATGGCAGCTATTAAAATGGGAAATAGAATGGGCACAGCTGAAAAGATCAAACAAGGAATAAGACAGATGTTTTTTTTGTCACCTGACCTCTTCTCTCTCTATAGCCAGATGATATTGGGAGAAATCAAAGATACACAAGGAATTAGAGTGGGAGGTTATTATATAAACAACATACATTATGCAGATGCCACAGTATTGATAACTGAAAAGCAAATGGTTTACAACAATTACTTGTAATGAGGGAGAGTGCCCAAAAAAAAGTGTTGTCCTTGAATATAAAGAAAACAGAGGTAATAGTTATATCAAAGACAAGTATACCACCACAGTGTGATATTAGAATAGAATGTAAAAAGTTAATCCAAGTCGATAAATTCATATATCTGTGTAAAATCACAGCATCAGACGGAAGATGTGAGTCAGAAATTAAGAGCAGAATAGGCCAGGCTAAGGCTGCATTTCACAGAATTAAGGGCATCCTCTGCATCAGTCCCTCTCTTTGGATGTCTGAAAGATAGTAATAAAATGTTATGTAGAACCTATTTTGCTGTATTGTAGTCAGCCATGGATTGTAAATGCACAGATTAGAAAGAACCTGGAGGTGACGGAGATGCAGTTCCTCAGACAAATGTTAAGAATCCTTTAGACTGCTAGAAAAACTAACGAGGATTGCTTGAAAAAAGCTGATGAAAGCAGACCAATATTTACCAATATAAGGAAAAGACAAGCACTGTTCTTTGGTCAGGTGATGAGGAGAAAAAAAAAAAAGGGGGGGGGGGGTCTGGAGAATATTGTGACAACTGGGAATATCAACAGTAGAAAAGGGAGAGGCAGGCCGAGAGAGATGATGACGGATAGAATTAGGAAGGCGTCACTGAGGGATATCATCAGTGGAACCAATCCAGAGGACAAAGGGCGTAGATCTTTGGACATGAATTAATCCTACGCCAGTCGACAGGGCACATGATGATGATGTGAGATTGCTATAAAAATAATCACCTGGCATCACTGCTTATGCGAAATAATTTCCAAAACGATCTCCAAATTTTTCATTTAACATAAATAATTTGTGTTAATTACTGTATGTTCTATTTTTAGGCATACACAAATTATTAGTTTAAAGAAAATATTAGCACCTGTGCACTTGAAAATTTTAAAATTATAAGGACTTGGGAAATCTAAGACCATGTGCAAAAGTTTGTGTTGATCCCTACAGGAGTTTTTGAAATATTTGTTAAAGTTTTGCAGGGGGGGGGGGGGGGGGGGGGGGGGGGGGGGGGGGGGGAGACAACAACTTTTGGAACTGACTGTAATGATGACTTTTTTGGTTGATATTTCAGGTCTGCAGTTTGCTGTGACTGTAGCACCCAAATCCATGAAAGCAGTAGTTACTGGCATATTTTACTTCTTCTCAGGAGTTGCCAGTTTTATTGGGGTTGCCGTTGTGTTAATCCTGCAGCGGACGAACACATGGTTTCAAAGTGGCGACTATGGAGACATCAACTGCCGGAAACAGTGTTATTTGGCAGGTAAAATGCCACCTGGCGACTGCCATCTGGACTACTACTTTTTCTCCCTGGCAGGATGGGAAGCTGTAGGCTTGATTTTATTTTTGGTCGTGGCCAAAGTGTTTCATTTGAATTCTGAAGTGTCTGTGGTTCGGTCAGGTGGAAAAGAAACAGGCAGTAAAAACAAACACGTACAGAGACAAAGTTCGGAACCACCGACACCGACCACATAATGTTATTTCACAGGGTCAATCTTGTCAAGTGTAAATACCAGGGGTGGGAACACACCTGTGCCTTAACCCTTTGGAGAAAAGAGTCTTCTTTCAGTGCCAAGATGACGGAGCCTTCAGTAGGGAATTCTCTTAGGTTGCACACATAAAAATTATAAAACATAAATAATTTAATTAACATATATAAATCTAAATGACATATATAAATCTAAATGTATTCTTATAGGAAATGAATGAGCTAACACGGTCTTTAAGAATCACGCTGACATTCTGTGACGTCTCAACATGTTATCAAATTGATATGCTATTTGCATATTGATGAATGCATTATTTTTTTTTAAACTTAGGACAGACATGACTAAATTTAACAGTTTAAGTAATTTTTTGCTAAATGAAGCCTGAATAAGTTCTAACATTTATGTTTTAGGAAGCAAGGCTCATGGAGGCCTTTAGACACCTCTGGCACATGGTTGTACTCCATTTCCTGCCTCCTGCTATATTTTGGTTGCAACATCGCAACAGTCCTTTTCACCATTGTTGGGCACAGGTAACACCCCGAAAAAATCCATGTAAAATTACAGAACACAAGAAACTTTCATGAAAGCCACTATTGAATAGCCAACGTATGCAAGAAATGTGAGAAGCAATCTGATTGGCTGGTCTTCATACCAGCCATCATGTTTTAAGGCTTATATTACCGGACCGACGGATCGGCCCAGCCATCTTTTTCGCCATTTTGCAGTTGGGCCGATCAGCCCAGTCATCCCCAAAGGGTTAAAAATAATTCTGTCTGTTTTTGTTTGTTTGTTTATTTTATTTATTGTTTTAGTTTCACTCACCTGTCGTTCGTAGTATTGGGTGGTCTGTTTGTCTTGTAAATTGCTTTGTAATCAAGCCATATAAATTAATTATTGTATTTTCTATCTGCTTGTCTGATTTGGTTAATTTTTCTGAATTATAAAGTCATTTGTGATTTGTGTCAAGTTTTACTGACCATTTTATTTCAATTATAACTTTTAAAGTGGTTTTTATATCAACCTTCATTTAAGGTCACCTAGCGCAGGGGTTCTCAAGTAATTTTTTAAAACTATAGTTAATATTTAGCATAATTTACTTTTTGTTGCATAATTTACTTTTTGTAGCAAAGTTTACTTTTTGTAGCATAATTTACTTTTTGTAAAGCTCCCTTCCCTCTCCTTTCTTCAGTGTTGATACTTGAGAAAGGTATTTTGCCATTTGTTTTGTTAATGAATGTAAACTGCATCACATTTAAAAGACAACAGAAGCGGGTTTGCCACTAATGAATCAAATTTAACTTTGAATGGTTTGTAGTTTTTTTGTTTTTTTAAACCTTAAATTGTTTACGCTACAACCCTTTTCTTCTTCTCCTTCTCCTTCTTATTCTGCTGCTGCTTCTTCTTCTTCTCCTCTTCCTCATCCTCCTCTTTTTTCTTTCTCTTCTTCTTCTTCTTTGCTTTTTCTTCTTTTTCTGCTCCTCTTGATATTTTTGTATGTTAAACCATGAACCCATATTTACTTGCCATATGCTCACAATGTTAACTCCTGCTTCCTGTGCACATTAAACATGATTGCTCCATAGGAGGCAGAAGAAGAAAACCACAGACAGACAACAGAGCTTTGGTCGGTTGTGATGTCCTGTAAAGGATAAATCACTAAATGTTAACATGCCCAGCTCACTTCTTGTTTCTCTTGTATTAAATAGGCCAGTTTTTTTTTCTGTACAGTGTTAATGGTACAGTCAGAGAGCTTTTATACTCAACAACTTAAAGTCACATTTGTATGTATGTGAATTAGTATTGACTTTCCGGAGTGGCCTTGGTGTAGTGCCTAGATGCTTGCCTGCTGATTCGAATGTCATGTGTTCAGGTTCTGATGGAGCCAGACTGGTTAAACAAAAAAAGTGATTGGTTCTCATGTCGACCCATCCTTAAATGGGTAAAAGGTATAGTCCTGGGAAGTAAAGGTATCTGGCATGATATTGGCCACATCACGCACCGAGTGCCGATTGGTCTGTAACAGGCCTGTCAGACTGAGGGTCCCCTTAGGACAGTGGTTCTCAGCCTTCCCGGTGCAATGACCCTTTAATACACATCCTCATGTTGTGGCGACCTTTTAATACAGTTCCTTATGTTTTGGCGATACTTTATAACTTCAGTGAATATTTGTTTTGCTATGGTCTTTGGCAACCCGTGTGAAAGGGTCGTTCAACCCAAACAAGGTCGCAACCCATGTGAAAGGGTTGTTCGACCCAAACAAGGTTCGCAACCCGTGTGAAAGGGTTGTTCGACCCAAACAAGGTTCGCAACCCGTGTGAAGGGGTCATTTGACCCAAACAAAGGCGCAACCCGTGTGAAAGGGTCGTTCGACCCAAACAAGGTCACAACCCGTGTGAAAGGGTCGTTCGACCCAAACAAGGGTCGCAACCCATAGGTAGAGAACCGCTGCCTTTGAACAATATGGGTGAAATTTTGTTGCTCTGAGGGCCACACATGACAACTAACTGGAGTCATTTAATCACATGTATTGCAATTTTTCCTTGGTTCGGATCGCAGTATGCGTGCAAAGGGCTGCATGCGGCCCGCCAATTTGACATGCCAGGTTTATCAAATATATCTCTAGCGGTGTATACCCAGTATGCCAGAAGATGTAAAAAAAAAGGTCCTTTACTTTTTTCCAGTATGGACAGTACAATCACAAATCTTTTATGATCAACAATGTTCATGTCTTGTTTGTATATATGAATAAGTACTGATTTTTATCTATAACGGTGGACAGTATTTCTCTTTTGTATTTTGCCTGCAAACATTCTCCTTTTTGTTTTAGAGCTTGCATCGAAATATTTTGAGACTTTTTATACAGTTATTTCAAGGCCACATGCAATCTTGGTTGATGTCCTTATAGTCGTAATATATGTTGTTTGTAAATAATATTAATCTTTGCAAGGTAAAGATATTTGCACAAGGATAGTCTGTGATAACAAAGATGAGAATAGGAAATTAAAGCTACAGAACAAATGTTTAAAATACAATCATTTTACAAAACATAAACAAGATACAAGCATAGCAAGGAAATATTTCTCATCATTCTTCTTCTTCAGCATTCTGAGACAAGCCCTTGAGGTTCATTGCTGCAAATATCGCCCACCTCCATTCAACTTTTTGGTTGGCCTTCTCTTTCCAGTTGGTGACACCAAATGTTTGTAGGTCTGTCTGGATATTATCTTTCCATCATCTGCTTGTTCTGCCTTGTAATCTAAGGCCATTTAACTCTTTGCTTGGCCTTCTTTTTCCAGTTGGTGACACCAAATGTTTGTAGGTCTGTCTGGATATTATCTTTCCATCATCTGCTTGGTCTGCCTCGTGGTCTAGGGCCATTTAGCTGCCTTATGTGCACAGTTTTACCTCTCTGTCATCTGACATTCTCTCAAAATGCCCCAACTGTTTCAGTCTATTAGCCCCCATGAAGCCAGGGATCAGTAGGATTTTAACAGGTTTCTCTCCCTTCTTTAACGAAAAAATGTTTAAAGTCTGAGAGATCAGCTTCATTGTGACAGATTTGATCCCCTCTTCTCTATTTGCAGAATGGTTAGCCACCTGCCAAGAGCGTCAGACAAACCACACAGTCTGTAGCTCTAGCAGTGAAAGATCTCCGTTAATTTCCATAAAAATTGCATTCATGAATTGAATGGCTCCGCTCAAGAAATGAACCCGCAGCCTTCAGAATGCAAGGCAAACAGCTTAGCCATGAAGACTCCCAGCTTCCCATCGTGGTATCTGTCTAGAACCTTCTTTACTGCTGTGAAGGCATTGGGCTCGGGCATAGGTTCATGACAGAAATGGTCTATCCCTAAACACAACTGGATCAACACTGTCTGAGTATACACTTCTTCTTCTTCAGCATTCCGAGCCCTTGAGGTTCATTGCTGCAGATATCACCCGCCTCCATTCATCTCTCTGATTAGCCTTCTACTAGCCGTCTCTCTGAGTCAGTATACACCCGGTCAGGTTGAGGTCAGCTGAATGCTACCTTGCTGATTTACCATCATTCTTCTGTAACATCCCATAGCTGCTCAGGACCCTGACCAAAAAACAAGCATGAAACAAGCATCTGAAACCACAATTTTGGCATTCAAAAAATGAATGCCCATTGAAATGTTAAATAATTTCATTAACAATGTCTGCAAAATAAAAGTTATCTTTTCCACAGGATAACAGTTATGCTTTCTATGAGATAAAAATGTTTTCCACAAGATAAAAATGTTTTCTACAAGATGAAAATGTTTTCCACAAGATAAAAATGTTTTCTACAAGATGAAAATGTTTTCCACAAGGTAAAAATATTTTCTACAAGAAGAAAATGTTTTCCACAAGATAAAAATGTTTTCTACAAGATGAAAATGTTTTCCACAAGGTAAAAATGTTTTCTACAAGAAGAAAATGTTTTCCACAAGATAAAAATGTTTTCTACAAGATGAAAATGTTTTCCACAAGGTAAAAATGTTTTCTACAAGATTAAAATGTTTTCCACAAGGTAAAAATGTTTTCCACAAGATTAAAAAAGACCCACTGCATGCCATAAAACGTAGTGGTTGGTTGAAACTGGAGATTTTGCAGTCTAGCTGTAAACCACAACACAATGTGCCAACCGGTGTTTTAAATGTAAATACAGAAGAAGAACACAATGATTATGAGTTTAGACTGCAGCTGTGTTAAACTTTGTATGAATAAAAATGTTGTTCCTACTTAAATACTTTTGTTTTGTTGTTTATAGGATGGCATAAACTCTTTCGGTAGCAGACGATTTGGCAGCAGTTGCCAACATGGGACAACAATTATGAATTTCAAACAGAGGCTAAAAACAGTGAAGTGTTCACTTGGATAGCCAGATTTCCAGAGTATGGTTTGACCAAGAGTAAAATGTAAAGTGCACAGGACATTATTTGCTGGCTGTGACTCACAAAAGTTATCCCATCACACACAGTG